AATAGTAACAAAACAAGCATTAAGAATAAGCAATACTCCAAGTGTATCCCCCACTCTTGGTCAATTCATGTTCCAGCGTTAGCGTCACATAGTTTGACCGCAAGTTCCCACTTGCTTATTGAAGACCCTTGGATGGGAGGAAACGGCACTATATTATCTACGCTTGTTATAGCAAGGTGTCTGTTGAGGGGAAAAGTAGCAAATGTCTGAAGAAAAGTAAGGTTAACATTTCTTTTATTTAAATATTTTTTAGCCTAACTGTACTACAACCTGTGGGATTATTTGAATAACAGCATTGCGGAGAAGACTTGTGATACTTCTCGACTTAATTTGAGTGGCTGATCAGCTACATCATAACCGGCTTTGTTGTCTAGAAGATTCCATAAAGACATTTGCATCATTATCATCCCCAGACATCCAAGACTTCGGGCCTTTTATATCCCAGTAGACAATCAAGAGGCTCGTCTACCTCGGCAGTACCTCCAGGGCTAATTTTGAATTGTAGGTGTGTTTTCTGATTATTCGGAGTCAACAGAGGTAACAGTACCGGTTGCAGTCCCTAGGACAAGGTATTATGACCCCCATAGACATATAGAAGGGAAACCTAGGTACAAGTCAGCTGTAGAATCAAGCCAAATATCATATATTGCTATTTGATCCACGTGTCCATGTCTCCTGAAAGGAGAGCGAATACCGTCTAATATTAGCAGTGCTTGGTAACAAATACAGTCAGATATACCCCACCCCGCGCAAATCAATCAGTTATTAAGGGGATCGACGGTAAGATGAATACTGGACCGCGGCCCAAGTACCGGAGTACTTTCACAGGGCGGTGCCACAATAGGGGGAACTAGGTACCGGGTACAAGAGAACAACGTATTATTGTTATGATTCAAATCCCCCCAACTCACCTCACTCCATCTCTCTCCCCCCCACTTGGTCGTCCCTACCCATCTTCTTCTTCTGCATCTCGCGCTTCATATCTCTTTATTTTAATTTTAAGTCTCAAGTTCTAACCACCCATCTCGATTCAATTTCACAATGGGTTCTGAGGTACGTTGTCATCCCCTTTTATCGGGCGCTCTCTTGAGTTGTCACCGCCATCGCAATCCCACATTCCCATCCTCGTCTGAGTTCACCCCCATCTGGAATTTTTGTCGATAAGAACTGGGCTAACAAATATCCTTACTATGCAGCGTGAGAAGTATGTCTATTGCTGCCCCTATCTCTGATGCCCATGACCCGACATGACTGACCCCTCACCAGCAAAACGTTCCTCGCGCGGCTCTGCGAGCAGGCCGAGCGCTATGATGGTAAGTTGACACGCGACTGTTTGGTTGAATGCGTATGCTGACGTGTCGCTCCTTGCTTTTCAGAAATGGTCACCTTCATGAAGGTTAGTCGCACCCCCTCATCTTGTTTACTGGGAATCCATGCTAATCGCCGAACAGGAAGTCGCCAACGTATGACACCATCATCTTCCCATCACCTTCGGGATTAATTTTGGGATATTCGCGATTGACACATATCTAGATTGGCGGTGAGCTCACCGTCGATGAGCGTAACCTGCTTTCCGTCGCCTACAAGAACGTGGTTGGCACCCGCCGTGCCTCCTGGCGCATCATTTCCTCCATCGAGCAGAAGGAGGAGAACAAGGGTTCCGATGAGCACGTCGGCATCATCCGCGATTACCGCCAGAAGATTGAGACCGAGCTGGAGCAGGTGTGCCAGGATGTGCTTGATGTTCTTGATGAGGCTCTCATCCCCAAGGCCGAGACTGGAGAGTCCAAGGTCTTCTACTACAAGATGTGGGTTACACCCCAACCAACTTTACTTCGGAGACTCCTCGGTTTGTGACATTGTGCTGACTTTTTAAATAGGAAGGGCGATTACCACCGCTACCTCGCCGAGTTCGCTTCCGGTTCCAAGCGCAAGGGTGCTGCCACTGCTGCCCACGAGGCCTACAAGGTAAATTACCCTCATTCGGCTTATTGTCATAGGCCTTCTCTTTTTCAATGAACAGCTGTTGATCGTGTCACAGAACGCCACCGACGTTGCCCAGACCGAACTTACCCCCACTCACCCCATCCGCCTCGGCCTTGCCCTGAACTTCTCCGTTTTCTACTACGAGATCCTCAACTCCCCTGATCGTGCTTGCCACCTTGCCAAGCAGGCATTCGACGATGCCATTGCAGAGCTCGACTCCCTCTCCGAGGAAAGCTACCGTGACAGCACTTTGATCATGCAGCTGCTGCGCGATAACCTTACCCTCTGGACCTCATCCGAGGGCACCGAGGGCGAGAGTGCCGCCAAGGAGGAGAAGTCTGAGGAGGAGCCCGCTGCCCCTGCTGCCGCTTCCACCGAGGCCGCTGCTCCCGCTGAGGAGAAGCCCGAGGAGGTTAAGCCCGCCGAGACTGAAGCCTAAAGGAACATTAGGGGTCGCGACGAGCCGTATGCCGTTTGGTAGGGTGGGCGTTCGCATTTATTCCTGGACGTTGTTATGCAAGTCGCTTCTTTGTTTTCACTGCAGCGCTGGGTTGGACCGGCAGATATCTTGCACGTCTTCGGGACCGTGTGGGTCGGCCGGCGGAGTTTGATATTCGGTTGACGCGAGCAGAAAAGGGGCTGAGTGGAAATTTCTCTCTCTTTTATTGTCTCTATTCCCACTCCGGCACGTTTCAATGTGTTAATTTTCCATTCCACTCCAAGCTTCTTTATTTGACATGCACCCTGTGTTGGGATGCTTGCGTAGCCAATGATTCCCCTTTTACCAGTATTCATGATGTATGAGCCGATACAAGAGTAGTTACTAGTCCTTTGCACGGAGTGGTCTGTTTCTTAGTTCCAAAAGCTTTAAGAAATCTGTAAACTAACATGCATTTAAACGCTTCAAAGTTTATAAATCTCCACTGTCTGCCCTCAGTAGCTCTATTACCTAAAGTTATCACCATCAACTCAAAACATCTAAGCCTCATCACTAGAACAAGACCGGCACGCGATCAAACTCCAAAGCAAAGCCACCACCACGTCTGACAATCCCAAACCAAAAAAAACGCGCCACAGAAGACGCCATCCCATCAAGCGCCGAAGACGGAGAACCAACATCATCGGGGACCAACGTCCCTCAAACAATTCGCGATTCGTCGGAGACCCAAAGGCCGAACAACAACACTACCGGGGACAGTGAACCTCTAACCCCCAACCCGCTATCTCCCATCCTCGAAGTGAACTCAACCAAAACACACGTCTTCCCACAAATCAAGAGCAACCAATCGAAACCGAAAGTGTTGAGCGCCACAGGAGGGGTCCGGGCACTTGCTAAAATATAACAGCCAAGCAGGTGGGCAAGCATGTTATGCATGTGAACTTGGTGTGGTGATAGGAAGGCCGGGAACGTCACGAGGGCAAGGCGGTATTGTTGACGAATGGTGGCTTGGGGGTTGATGAGGTGTTCTGTCGTACTGCGATTGGTTTTGTTGGCTGATTCCCGCATGTGTGTATATCCATGGATCTCTGTGGTGTTGCGCGTTGGGTATAGTCTAGTAAGGCTCGTTGCACTAGATATTGTGTCTGGGGCGATTTAGATGGATTTTATAGGGAGTCTGTGCTTGGATATTTAAATATGGATTGTATAGGGCATAAATATCAATATCGTTCCGATATATACATGGATTCGTCTAGAACCTTTATTCACGATATAATATCAACCGTGACGACTCACTCGATTGTATTTAACCCGTGCACTGAGATCCACTCCCTTGGATTCCGATTCGTCTAGAAAAGCTATCAGCTGTGGATTTAGAGATTAAGATAGCTAGAGGGCAAACATATGCATACGGGACGTAGTGGGAAGAAGCTAGCCCGGATGCACAATGCCTACATCCGTTGTCGAATCAATCGAGTGTGTCTAGGATTGCCGCGCGTCAAGCAATCGACAGGAGATATTGGGTCAATTGGACTTTGATTCTGACTTATGTTTGTCCCAAAGCCCCACCAGGGCTCTTGGGCTCACATTTGTTTGCTTGGTTCTTGACAATAGCTGGGATAAATGCATGCTCTTGTTGTCAATCTCTTCTAGTACTCCAGCCGAAGATGAGATCCTTACGACGATGGTAAATGGTTCCAATCATTCTAGCAGATGGTTAGAAGAACATGGTACTTTGAATAGACCGTAGACAGACTTATTTTTTCGCTCCATGCAAATGAAGCGAAGTATGCACGTCCATGTACATATACCAAGCTTGACCGGAAATCTCACATATGCATGTCTGTTAAGACACTGCCACATGTCCAAGCCAGAGAATCCTAGTTCATTACATACATTTGTAGTATGCATGGCTATATCGCTTTGTTAGACGGACCCTATCACGCAAGTAGAGATTGGGCAGATGCACTGGGATTAGAATCTTGTCTGGGAAGCTTTTCTCGATTGCCCCCTAAACTGTATCCGACTCCGTGCCATCGATATATCCCAAAGACCCCCGGGATGTAGGAGGTGAAAGCAATGCATATAGTCAAGTCCACTCCTTTTGCGTTGGATGATGAGGGATATCTTGGTCTTGCGGGAGGTGTTGTGGATATTGAGCAGGAGGCTAGACAGCTTGGGATGCTTAATAAAAGCCGAGAGACTAGGTCGATGGTTAGGAGTAAGGCGTTTTTTTGGTTAACTTTCAATATTAATGAGTAATTTTTAGCTGTGTATGTTAGAGTTCATGTATGTGAGGTAATATAATAATCGGAATGGATTGGGTCTTTCTATAGGTTACTTGTACGCAAGCATTTGAGATAGAAGGGGATGTACAGAGCGAGGATTGAGAGAAAGGAAGAAAAAAATAAAAAATAAGAAGGGGTGACATTGGACCCAGTAGAGATAACCTGCATATAGGTGAGGCAGGGTTAAAAGAAGATCTACGATCTTCCTTTAAAATGCGTATTTTCAAGGATCAAATCCAGGGGAAAGCAAAACAATTCAAATGGAGACTAGTCGTCCGTATCCACATTCACATAAAGTCATCATCCCCAAGATCATCATCACCCTGGTAGTTGGTGTTATCGACATGGGGGTCGCGGCTAGCATTCAGCGAGATCTTGGTCTTCGCTGCCTTGGACTTCTTATTGCCCTTGTCGGCAGCACGCTCCTCGCGCATCTTCTCATTGGAAGCAGTAGTGAGAGCACTAGCAATCTTCTTGATCTCAGCACTGGGCAAATCCTTCACAAGCTTACGGGTGAAGTCCTGCGTCCAGAGAGAGTAGTGAGCCTTCTTGGAGTGCGGGGTGAGGAGCGGCACAAGGGTCTCGGTCAGGCGGGTGAACTGGTCCTTGGTGACGGGCTTGAACAGCGGCATGGCGGACAGATCGACAGACTTGGTGGGGTCGGCTGAGTCGCTGACAACGACGGCCTTGGGGGCACCCTTGTTGGGCTTGACATCAACAGAGCCGAAAAGATCCTCGGCGTGGGCAAGATCGGCTTCCTGCTCCGTCTTGCGCAGACGAGCGCGGCGGTCTGCCTCATCCTCGCTCTCGGATTCGTCGCCGTCCCCCTCGCGTCGGCGCTGCTCCCGGAGCTCCTCTATCCGCTGGGCTTTGGTCTTCTTGTTGGCGGCGGCGGCGGCCTTGGCCTTGGCCTCGGCTTCGGCGGCCTTCTTGGCCTTCTCACGCTCTACCTCGGAGTCTTCGGCGGCATCCCATGAGTCAAGGACCTATCATTCGGGTTCGGTTAGTTTGTTGGACTTGGGGCGAAAGTGAGGGCCTGCTGGGCAGGTTCGAGATTGTGTTGCCTTACATCTTCTTCCTCTTCATCGTCGAAGCGGCGACGGGGCGCAGCAACGATAGGAGGCGCGGGGCTCTCCTCTTCTTCTTCGTCTGTGTTGAAATCAAAGGATTAGCAACAGCAACACGGATCGGAACACGCGCTAAGTAATTGTGGCAATCTTTATGGAAGGCGAGAATACAAGGATAATAACATACCCCACTTGGAAGGCGGCATTTTGAGCAATATAAGACCTCGTTGGTATTAGAGAAGTGAAAGAACGTAATGCGCTATACGCAAGGCTAAAAGGAACAAGCCAACACAATCGGACCCAGCAAAGGATGGAGGGGCGAGGGAAATTTTATGTGGGACACACTTATCGTCCCCAGGTGGGATGTGCACGTGATCTCGGGCATTGAATGCCCGATGAGCATGATCTTTCTTCATGGATTACTCTTCCTTTACTACTTGTTTTCTAATTTATCAAATGGTGGAAATTTGTTTTCATTGAAAAAGATCTTATTAAATTCATAATCATCATGGACGATAGTTCCGTAGATCATCAAACCATCGTTTTTGATGGGCCCTCATCCGGCCCGATCTATGCTGCCAAAAGGCTGCATTTACAGGTTGACAGCAGTGCGGAACTTCTCACCAGCGTAGATAGCGTTGGAGCCAAGCTCCTCCTCAATACGGAGGATCTGGTTAAGCTTGGCAAGACGCTCGGAACGGGCAGGGGCACCGGTCTTGATCTGACCGGCGCGGAGGCCAACAGCGATGTCAGCAATGGTGACATCCTCGGTCTCACCGGAACGGTGAGAGACCATGACACCCCAGCCGTCGGCGTAGGAGTCCTTGGCAGCCTGGATAGATTCGGTCAGGGTACCGATCTGGTTGACCTTCAGGAGAAGGGAGTTGCAAGACTTGAGCTCAATGGCCTTCTTGATGCGCAGAGGGTTAGTGACAGTCAAGTCATCACCGACAATCTGGAAGTCGGAGGTCTTGTAGAAGTAGCTCCAGGCCTCCCAGTCGTCCTCAGCGAAGGGGTCCTCGATGGAGACAATGGGGTACTTGGCAGCGAGGGACTTGTAGAGGTCGGCAAGCTGCTCGTAGGTGAGCCACTTGGTGGGGTCGCTCTCGGGGTTCTTGAAGTCAAGATCGTACTTCTTGGCATCCTCCTTGTAGAACTCGCTGGAGGCAACATCCATGGCAATCTTGATCTGGCCAGTGTAGCCAGCCTGCTCAATGGCATCGGTGATGAGGTCAAGAGCCTCCTCAGCGGTCTGAATATCAGGAGCGACACCACCCTCGTCACCGACGTTACCGGCGGACTGACCGTACTTCTTCTTGGCGAGGGTCTTGAGCTTCTGGTAGACCTCGGAACCCTGGCGGAGGGCCTCGGAGAAAGTGGGAGCAGTGCTATGTTCGGTCAGTTTCTAGTTGCAATGCGTTTTGAGGCTGGAAGACCTACTCGGGAACGATCATGAACTCCTGGAAGGCGAGACGGCCACCGGCGTGGGAGCCACCGTTCAGGACGTTCTGGAAGGGAACGGGCAGGACGAAGGGCTTCTTGGTTCCGGCAAGGTCGGAGATGTGAGCGTAGAGGGGAACACCCTTCTCAGCAGCGGCAGCCTTGGCAATGGCCAGAGAGACACCGAGGATGGCGTTGGCACCGAGCTTGCCCTTGTTGGGGGTACCATCGAGCTTGTTCAGGAACTCGTCGACCTTGGCCTGCTCCTTAACATCGAGGTTCTCCTTGATAAGGGCAGGGCCAATGACCTCGTTGACGTTCTTGACGGCATTGAGGACACCTGAATTGAGATGAAGATATCAGTTTCTGATTACTTGTTGATGTGTCAACCGGGTTCTTTTCACTTACCCTTGCCACCCCACTTGGTCTTGTCACCATCGCGGAGCTCAACGGCCTCGTGCTGGCCTAGGAAGTCAATGTTAGCAATCTAGTCCGATCTTCTTTTTCAATGTCCAGAAGTCAAGGAACACAAACCAGTGGAAGCACCGGAGGGGACAATGGCGCGGTGAAGTCCGGTCTCGGTGACAACGTCCACCTCAACGGTGGGGTTGCCGCGAGAGTCGTACACGGAGCGAGCGTGGATCTTAGAAATAGGCATGTTGGAATTGGACAGGCTGATTATAGTTTTCAGTCAGTTGAAAGGAAGGAGAAAAAGAGGATCTGGGTAGATATATGGCAAAAGCAGCAGGTGACTAACGGCGGGGGGAGCTTCACCGATGACCCAAAAAGATTGGGCGGGAAGAGGTAAAAAGGATATGATTTGCTTGGAGAGGTAAACGGGGGGCAGGTTCCTACTACGATCACCGGTAGGTCTTTTGGTTGGGTTTCTATTCCTTTCCAGAAGACGTATAGTCACGTTGTAGAGAGGATGTGTGTGTTTTGGAGGGGTAGAAGGTGGTGTTATAGCGGGGTATATGATGGTATGATAGTTATGATGTTATGATGCTATATTCAGAAACTCACCGGTGAAGATTAAGAAAACAACTTGATAAAATAGAAAACCTTCTACGGAGACACCCGACTACTTAAATAATTTCCCCCAGAGAAACCCCGGGAAAGCTCATTGCTGCTCCGATTCTTTCCAATGCAACAGTGGGGCTCCACGGCCATTCTCCAGCACTCGCTGGCAGATCCGACCTTATGCGGCCTCTGTAGCTACGAGATCTCCCGTTCCTCGGAAGATATTAGATGAATACCGTTCTCCCGATACACATCCCCTGTTACAGGATCTCCCGATGCGCATGCCATGTTATAAGGACGTGCACACCGTACGGCATACCCCTCTACCCCTCCACTGCGCATTTAGTCTATAACTTGCAAGTAGATAACTCCTTACTTGTATGGGGTGATGTTACCCTGGTACCTGGTACACAAATTCAAACCAATGAAAAGAAAGTGTCTTACGTAGCATTTCATTCCAAACTCCCAAGGTTGTAAGGTCCCATTCTGATTTGGACGAAGACAGCAGTCGGCGCCTGATTGTTGAGGCCAAGCTATCTCGGACCGTGCTCCGGGTTAATAATCTTCCTCTCCGGACTATTTCCTATTATCAATAATCCAATATTAACTAACCAGCCTGATTTGAAGTAAAGAAGAAAGGGGAAAATGGAAAAGCTCATTCCCAAGTGTGGTTAGAGAACTGGAATATTTATGTAAAAAGTACAATCAAAGAAAGAAGAAAAAAACTCAAAAGAATAAAAGTAAACAGCTCAAACATATATGACAGAAAGCTGGCGTACGAACAATGTATGGTATAGATGACCAATGTTGACAACTCTAACCAACTAAATTGACAAAACCCGCTTTTTCAACAATCTGTGCGGACCATGATGACTAACTGTAATATGCACTTTTGTATGGTATGCCTGGTACCCAATGTCACATGATGTTTCCGGTATATTACCTGGTTTCTACTATGTAACCCCTAACGTATTTCACATGCGAGCCGGCCACACAAGCGAGCCGGCCACCCCAAAACACTATAGTAAATGCGATAAATTACAACTTGATATCTCAACAACAGTACTTTATATGGAAATTTCTTAATAGCTTAATGTTTTTTAGGCGATATATAGTCTCTTTACGGAATTTTAGGAATATATTCGACTTAGTGATTAAGATATATATATTTCTAGCTTTTTACAACGTAATTTTCGGTAATTTTTGAAATTATAATAATATAGCCTCCTACTTCCTTTAAGATTTATATATAGTGCTAATATATCTTATCAATAACTATCGACAAATAAGGAGATAGAATGAAAAGTTGGTTGTTAAGATATAAATGCAAAATTATCGCATTTACTATATATTACGCACTAGCTAACTATTACGCACTAGCTAACTATTACGCACTAGCTAACTATTACGCACTAGCTAACTATTACGCACTAGCTAACGTATTTCACAAGCGAGTGGCCACCACAAGCAAGTGGCCACCCCACCCACCTATATTAAATTTAAATGCATTTATCTCAACCATAACGCCATTAAATTAATCAAACTAACTAACTAGTCTATCTAGACATATTTCTCTTCTATACCCTAGCAATCTATATATCCCATACCCTCGCTAGCCCCGTATACGTGGCTGAATAGCCGATTCTCTAGGTATACCGGGGCCGGGGGGAGGTGCTTTAGTTGCTTCCTATTACTATATAATTAATATAGATGCTTCTTAAACTAAGAGGCCTTCTTCTACGGGTATCTACCTCTAGGATCTAGTACGCTTTTACTTCTACTTCTCGTTAGCGGCGTATAATTCCTTATTTTCTTTAGCGAGTAAGATAGTACCTTATATTATAAGACGGAAGCCTTTTATAAGCTAATTTAATATACGATCTAACGGGCTAGGCGGGCTTCGAGATCTTATATAAAGTAAAGCTTTAATTGATAAAGCCTATCGACGTAGTTCTTTCTCTATAAAAGGAGTTTTTAGGGTAAAATTCCGGCTTAATTTACTACCCTAGCTAATAGGGGGGGTTAGGGTTTAAAGCTAAATATTAAGCTTTAAAATCACTTAGTTAGGTCTAAATAGTACTAAACCGGTAGCTAAGAAGCTATTCTTAATTATCTCCGATTTAAAGGCTTTAATTTATATAAGAGGGTATACTTCGAGGAAGTTAAGTTTATTAATATAGTTAATCCCGTTCTATATCTTAGTTTTAACTATCCGACCGTACGATCGTTTTAATACTATAAAATAACCTATATTAAAAGATTATAAAAGATAAGATAAATATATTAATATATATATTAGTATTATCTTATTTTATTTATAAATTTCGTCGAATTTAGGCGTTAAATAACTTCTATAGCTATTAAATATTAAAAGCTAATACCCCCCTTTATATATAAAGAAGTACTACGAATAAAGAGCTTCTTAAGCTAATAAAGTCTAATTTTATCGGAGATCTAGTTATTAAAACTAACTTTAAAACGCTAATCCTCTAAGAGGCCTATTGGCACTTTAGCAGATATAATATTATAGCCTATAATTAGGTTATAATATTTTAGTAGGGAAGTGGTATTAGGTAATCTTTATAGCTTATATAATATAATTATATAAGATATAAAGGGTTATACTTAGCTAGAATAGGAATTAATATAAGAGGTAGAAGTCAAGTTGATTGTTATTATGCTTATATTATTATAACATACTAGCTAAGCAAGGAATTTCGATTCCTTATATAGCTAGTTAGGAGGCAATTATGAGATAATATAATATCTTATAATGTTATAATATGACTTCACTATATATGGCAAATATCATAATATGACCTCACTATATATAGCAGATGATAGTGAGTCATAATATAGTTTACCATATATCATATATCTAAGGATCACTTAGATAGTACCGGTAAAATATATATAGGCTCC